CTTTTTTTTTTTTTTTTTTTTTTTTTTGCATCTCTCAGTGGCACTTAAAGATACCCTATCTTTCTAAATAATGCTTCTAAAATTCACAGAAAATGATAGTTTCTCAAGCTTCTATCAGTGAAATATAGCCAGGGTTGATCCCACTTTAACAACAGACATTTCCTTGGTTACCAGGCAGATGGTATGGGGGCGATAGGGAAAATTTCAACCTCCCCCCAATAATAATTTGCCTGGCAGACAAATCCATTAGGTGTTCTCTTTGTTGTTCCTGACTCCATGTAGTTGTAAGTCTACTCTTCTTAGACCAATATATGAAGACCTTGAAAATCTCCCTCTAATTTATCTTTCTGATTCCTGTCAATCCCTATACTCCAAGTCTAGCAGCTACCAGCCCGTTTTTTCTTTTCTTGGAATGTATCATGTTCCTTCTGGCTCTGTTAACCTTTGTGTGTGGGTTTTTTAAAATTTTTTATTTAATTTATTTTTTTTAAATTTTATTTGTTTAGGATACTTTCCCCTCCCTCATTTGCCTGATAATTTCTATTCATCTTTTAGGTCCAGCTCAGCATTACTTCTAGAAGCATTCTTTTTTTTTTTTTTTTTTTAAGATTTTACTTATTTATTTATTTGACAGATCACAAGTAGGCAGAGAAGCAGGCACAGAGAGAAGGAGAGGGAGGAGAGAGGAGAAGAGAGGGAAGCAGGCTCCCTGCTGAGCAGAGAGCCCAACGAGGGGCTCAATCCCAGGACCCTGGGATCATGACCTGAGCCGAAGGCAGAGGCTTTAACCCACTGAGCCACCCAGGCACCCCATTTCTAGATGCATTCTTGACTTCTAAAAACAGAGCTTATTGCTCTGCGTGGTTCACTTTGTTCACACTGTTTTAGAGCCCCTACGACATTGGATTGTAGTTACTATTATGTAATTTGTTTCTTTTCCCTACCAACTACGACATTCTTTTATTATTATTATTATTATTGTTATTATTTAGCGAGGGAGGGAAGGGGAGGAGGAGTAGAGGGAAAGGGAGAGAGAGAATCTTAACAAGGCTCCACACCCAGCACCAAGTCCCTCGTGGGTCTAAGAGTAGGAAGAGGAATAATGGATATATTGGTGTAGGAGTAGGGATGATGGATATAATTCTGGTTCTCTCTTTAGCAGTTTTAAACTTCTCTCTCTCAGTCCCAATCAGAAAATAGGAGGTTGGTGCATTGCCTGGCCTTTGTCCTCATCCCATTTCTTCGCTCTCCTCCCTTGCCTCCCTTGTAAAAGCAAACATAGTTTGTGAGGCTAAGAGTAACAGAAGAACATTTTTTCCCCCTCTTCCTTCTCTTCATTTTCTCTCACTCCTCTCCCAATTCTGTTTAGGGCCTGACCTTCCCCCCTCTCCTCTTCATCTCATGGAAGCACTTTCCACTTTTGTCTGTCATATTTTACTGTCATTTTTTAAATTCATGAGCAGGGAAGTTATCCTTTTAAGCATTTGGATTTTTAAAACTAAAATTTTTGAAATTGATTATTATAAACGTAAGTTAACGATTGGAATCTCCGGGTTTCTAAGCTATAGTAAGCAGGTCAGGTCATTTTTTATGGCACCTGGGCAAAAATGCATCTGAATTCCTTTTAAATGAATTTGCAGGATGAAATCTGAGTTTACCTTTCTAACTCTCCTCTAAGTCCTGAAAAACAAAAGCAGTAAAAATGTTTACATGCTTAGTAAACATTCAAAGAGGCTCTGAATAAAGAGCGCAAACTGTGAGCAGTGATTCCCAGCTTTTTGAAAACCCAAACCAACGACCAATGCCAATTGTAACCCTTTCCATCTTTTACTTATAAATTAATACACAAGAATAGGAGCGGATAAAAAAGGGTTACATTTTAAAAGAAAGTATAAATCTCAAAATGAAAAAGGAGGTAACCATGCAAATGACATCAGTAAAGAGCAACTCGGGGATTAGATTGTAACATTACGGACCCGCGTCCGCGCGCCTTGGGACCCTGCAGTGACTTGGTGAGGCTCCACCTCCGGGAAGAATTTCATTGGAGCTCACCTGCTCGCTCGCCCCCGCCCCAGCTCCTCTTCCGCATGCGCACTACAGGCAAAGGCCTCTGGCCTCCTCTCGTCTCCTTCCCCACCCCCGAATTCCTAACTCCGATTGGTCCGCTTCATGAGTCCTCCCCTTGGGTCCTACCAGTATGGATGTCGTCTCGGTGCTCCGCCCTTTCTGCCGGCAGTGTGCGGCGGTGTTGCTTGCAAACCCGCTTTGCGAGTGGGGATGGCGGCGTTAGCGGCGGCTGCCGGCGGGCTGTTGAGGCTGCGAGCGGCTGGGGCAGAAGGACAGTGGCGTCGGCTTCGAGGCGCGGGGCTGCTGCGGGTCTTGGTGCAGCCCGACTCGGCCACTGGGTTTGCGGCGCAGAGGAGGCATGTGGCTCACTTCACTTTCCAGCCCGACCCGGAGCCCCAGGAGTATGGTGAGCTGGGGGCTGCCCTGTCTGCTCTTGGTGCAACCCAGACTCCCAGGCCTGTGGGGGCCTCGCAAGGACTGCCGTCCCGCTCGTGTGGACAGCGGCCGGCAGGCTGATCTCCTTGTATCTTGTTGTAATTCATGCCCTGCTTTCTGGAGCCTACCTACTTTAGGGACTGACTGTGGTTTCCTCCTCGCTCTATTTTTGTGACTGTACAACCCTTGAGAGGCATCCTCTCAGAACCCTCGAGATGGGTGAGAGGGCATGCCGCAGTCTGGAAGGGCAGAGGGTGGAAGGGTGGTGCCCAGGGAACACCTACTTTTCTCAGTTCTCCATCCTTACTTTCCCAGCCTTGGCCCTAGGTGTTGTCCCAGTTTGTATGGAGCTGGGCCATTAACTACAGGCACCGGTATTTAAAAGATTTTTTCCCCCCTTTTCTTTACTACTTCTACTACTACTACTGCTGCTACTATTACTATTTTTGCTTTGGCAGGGAAGAGGAAGTGGAAGGACTAAGTAACTGAATTAATTTTTCCCAAGGTCATAGAACAGGTTGTTCCTGGAGATGGGAAAGAATCCAGGTTTCCAGGCTCCCAGGTTGAGCCCAGGACTGGGGTAGGCTGCCACTTAGCTAAGGAGGGGTAATTGATGAAGGTAGGGGGGAAGAGGAGTCCATCTAGTATTCTCATTGGTAGGAGGGACATGTAGTAAACTCCTCATGGTATGACAATTGCATGACTTTTACCATTTCTTCTGCAAGTTATATGTAATCTCTCAAAGATCTAGTGTCTATTATCAGAACAATGGAAACAGTAAGAGAACATTTACCTTTTCTTTGATGACTTCCTATGTACTAGATCTGATTTTTTTTTTAAGATTTTATTTATTTATTTATTTGTTAGAGAGAGAGAGAGAGAGAGGGCACGCACAAGCAGGCAGAGGTGGAGAGAGAAGCAGGTTCCCAGTCGAGCAAGGAGCCCGATATGGGACTTGATCCCAGAACCCTGGGGCTGAAGACCGTTGCCCAGCCAACTGAGCCACCCAGGTGTCCCTAGATCTGATATTTTTGGAAGGGTGTCTCTACTTGTGAATAATAGGTATGAATATATATTCAGTGCTTACCATAGGCAGGGACTGTGCTGAAAAATTTACATTCATTATTTCATTTGATGCTCAGGACAACCTTTGAGGTAGGTGATATTAACTGAAGTCTTGAGAGTTTGTCCAAGGTTACACAGAGAAGTTAGTGATAGCTTCTGCTTTGGATTTTAATTATTTAGATTCTAGAGCTTCCATTCTAAACAATGTGGTATAATGCGTATAGATATGGTTTACTAAGAGGTGTGCCACTTTTGTAAAACAGTATATATCATAAAGGTGAATAGCAGTTTTTTCTCACCAATAGGATGAACCTTGAATTCTGTCTTCAAAACGAAGAAACTTTAGCCCAATACTTGAGAAATAGAATACAGTTCGTCTTAATCTCCTCAGCCCCCTTTCATAATTGTGAAACTACTAAAACCCAGGTAGAATGATAATCACATTTGTTTGTTTGTCCTTATGAAAATAAAAATAAGTGCATGTTACAGATAATTTGGATAATAGAAAAAAGTAACAAAAAGTAATCTCACCATCCACTACTGTTTGTAAATACTGCTAACATTTTGGTGTGTATCCTTCCAGGTCTTTCCTTGTAGTTTAGTGGAATTAAATTACTCCATTGATCAAATCAGTGGAATTAAATTTTTCCTGCAACCGGAGCTTTAACACAGATATAATCAGCATTATTTAATCAGAAGCGTTTTCCTATATGATTACATAGTTTTCATAGCCTTCTTTAGAAAGCGGTATGTTTGGTGGTATGCTCACTTGGTTAAGTGTCTGCCTTCAGCTCAGGTCATGATCCCAGGGTTCTGGGATTGAGTCCTGCATTGCGCTCTCGCTCAGCAGAGCGCCTGTTTCTTATTCTCCCTCTTCTGCTTCCCCTGCTTGTGTGTGCTCTCTTTCTCTCTCTCTCTCTCTCTCAAATAAATAAATAAATAAATAAAATTAAAAAAAAAAGGAGGGGGGGGGCAACCTGGTCCATGGAGTATAAACCCTCTAGTTCAGTGGTTAAGATCTTGGCACTGGAATCGGATTGTCCCAGGTTTGGTTTTGGCCCTGCTACCTGTGACTCTGGATTACTCACTTACTGTCTCTAAGCCTCAGTTTCTTTGTAAATAAGGATTTTATAGTAATACCTACTTCAAAGATTGTTATGAAGACTAAATATAGACAGTTGTGTGCAATATACTTAACCCAATTTGATTACTAAGAAGCACTCAGTAACTGGAAACTTTTAATAATTACCATTATGCTTTTGCTTTATTTTTTTGCACTGTTATAAATAATGCAGAGAGAAACATTTCATGTATCCTTTATGTATCTGAGATTATTTAGAATAAAGTCCTAGGGATGAGATTTCTGATTCAAAGGAATAGTTTAATGGATTTTTTTTTTTCAAAGATTTTATTTATTTATTTGACAGAGAGAGAGATCACTAGTAGGCAGAGAGGCAGGCAGAGAGAGAGGAGGATGCAGGCTCCCCGCCAAGCAGAGAGCCCGATGTGGGCCTCGATCCCAGGACCCTGGGATCATGACCTGAGCCGAAGGCAGAGGCTTTAACCCACTGAGCCACCCAGGCGCCCTTAATGAATTTTTAATACAAAGTTCAAATTACAGTTTATACTTCCATCTGCATGTATAAGAGTGTGAGTATTGGGTGTCACAATAAAATCACAATTGTGCTGTGATACTGTGATTTATAATAAGAAGTACTTATTGGTCTTTGTCCCCTTTTCCTGGCACAGAGCTCCTAAACCTTTGAAATTTCCTTTGATGAGAGCAATAAAGGTGTCTTGTTACGCTGATGGTAACTGTTTAAAATCTCCTAGTTCATCCAAGAAGGGAAGCTGGTGACTAGAGGAATCAATTGTGTGATGAGAGGGCTGTACTTTCAGTCCCACCCCGACCTCTGTGGAGCGGAAAGGTTCTGGAGGTTGAATGAATTTAATCAGTTATGCCTATGTAATGAGACCCAAAAGGATGGGGTTCAGAGAGCATTTGGGTTGGTGAATAGGTAGAGATTCAGGGGTAGTGGCATGCTCAGAGACCATGGTAGCTCTATGCCCTTTACCCATACCTTGCCCTGTGCATCTCTTCCCTCTGGCTATTCCTGAGTTACGTCCTTTTATAATAAACCAGTAATCTTTTAAGTAAAATATTTCTCTGAGTTCTGTGAGCCATTCTTGCAAATTAATTGAGCTCAAAGATGGGATGAGGGGACCTCTAATATATAGCCAGTGAGTCAAAAGCACGGGTGACAGTCTGGGCTTGTGACTGGCCTCTGACCTGGGAGGTGGGCACAGTCTTATAAGGACTGAGCCTTTAACCTGTGGGATCTGACAGCAGCTCCAGGCAGATGGTGTGAGAATTGCATTGTGGGGTACCCAGCTGGTGGTGCAGAATTGCTTGGTTGGGTTTTAAAAGAATACACACATTGCAGTTGGTATCAGAATCCTGTGTGTGCCCGCGTGCTTGGGTATGTTGTGCTAATTGCAGTTTGTTTTACTATGTACTTGTTTTACTTCTATTAAGGTATATTTATCAGATATTTGTTGCCTCCTGTGTTCACAGGAGATTTATTTTCTCCTGTGAATTGGATGTTCCTTGTCTTTGCATATTTAAAAAATGATATGCCTAGTAATTTTGTCTCTCAGTAGGAATGCTATTTAACATTATCGAATATTGAAATATTGTCTATTCCAGGTGTGTCCGACATCAGTCTATAATCCTCACAGTAACCTTGTGACCTAGAGAGTGTTATGCTCATTTTATAGATGAGAAAATTGAAGCTCAGAGCTGTTAGTGGCCTGTCCAAGTCTGAGGAGTAGCAGGGCCGGAATGTGAACCCAAATAGGTCTATCTTCAAAGCCTCTCACACTACTTTTCTGCTCATGTTTTGTATAGTAAAGTTATTAATGAAGATAGTAACTCTTTGTCTTTCATGCCTGTTACAAATAGCTTAATTTTAAAAATTCTGGTTATTTTGACACATGAAAGAGACTGCTTAAATAGAGTGATGGTCTGGGTCGACTCTGAGGAGGTGACATTTAAGCTTCACTGTGAGGAAAGACCAAGGAATTACCTCCAAGGTAGAACAGTGTTTTCCTAGACGGAGGAAGGGCAAGCATTGGTGAAGTCCCCAACGTGAGGTCAGCTTGTTCTGTGGTGCCTGGGAAACCCTTTGCAGTTGCACTGGGGGAGGCAGACAGCTCTCAGAAATCAAGGGTAGACCCAAGAGTCCTTTTCCTGTGGGGATGAAGGTTTTCTTTCCAGTGTTAGAATTTGTAGAGAAGGGAACAACATGAGTAAAGAATGGCTAGAAAGCATAGGGTTTTATGAGGGATGAGGAGGAGTGAGTTTGTTTGGAGGAAAAAAGAGGAGGGGTAGGAAATAAGTGTGGAAAGTCAGAAGAGAGGTTGGGGGAGAGAAAAGATTGACTATATCCAATGTAGCTTTCACTGTGCTGGGTGCATTACATTATGTATGTAATTACATTCGGGTTCAGGTTAAATTCCGTGGGCTGTGGAGGGCCATCGCTTGTGTAGGTAAGAGAGTGATTTGCAAAGTACTTGTGTAATATTATGAGGAGAGTTTGTAGAATTAATGAAGGGAAAGTAAGGATGCAGAGAGATTAGTCAGAGGGATATTGTACTGTCCATGTGAGAGGATATAATTGGGGAATGTCAGTGGGGATGGTTGTGTGTTGGTTTTTTTTATTTTTTTATTTTTTTTTTATTTTTATTTTTTGATGGTTGTGTGTTTTGAAGGAATTGACTAGAGCTGGTGCTGTTTTGCCTGTGGGGGCCAGGGGAGGGGATATCAAAGATTGCTTGACATTTTTAGCCTGAGAGTCTGAAAGGATGGTAGAATGGTGGTATCACTGATACGAATGAGGAATGCTG